AACTTTTTTCCACTTTGGAAGCGTCTGTCACGCAAACTATTCGGTATAGAAAAAAAATATTTTAGAAACCTCGATATCATTTTTGAAGACCTATCCATAGATATCCCACAAGCATGTGTTTGATAAAAAAAATTTTTGAGTTTCAGTTCTAAGTATGGGGAGCCCCCAATATTTATTATCTTTTTTTTATTTTTGCATCATAATCTTAATGCGGTTCACAGAATACATCTACCTACCAAGTTTCAACAGTATAGCTCTTATAGTTTCGAAAAAAAATGGCTGTGACATACGGACGGACAGACATGACGAATCTATAAGTGTTCCGTTTTTTGCCATTTGGCTACAGAACCCTAAAAAGTCGCGTTGAGACCCGTGTTTCTCTATTTTAACACTTAGCAATACAAAGTTGTAATAGGGCTCTTACATTACAGTTAATTAAAAACAGTGTCATTAAAGTAACCCTATAAGAGGTCATCCATAAAGTACGTCACACGTAAAGAGGGGGGGAGGGGGTTGACAAAGTGTGACATGGTGTGACAAGGGGTGGGAGGGGTCCTAAGTTTCGTGACATCACATTTCAATTGTTTCAAATATTTGATATAATGTTGATTTCATAAAAAAAATACTTAATTTAAATGGAAATAAAACTAATTTTGGAACTGCTGTTAATTTAATAATTTTTCGATGTGAAATTGCAAAACATGTCACGTCACACTAGGGAGGGGGGGTCTCAGAAATGTGACCACCTGTGACAAGGACGGAGGGGGGGTAAAAAAATCATGAAATTCGTGTGACGTACTTTATGGATGGCCCCTAATATGCATTTTTTAAGTACTAGACTAACGCCCAAAATCGTCCACGAAGACGTGCCCCACCATTCTTCCGCTAATGTTTGAGTATTATCGGTACACGCTAAATGATCCATGAGTGCACACGCACACTACAATAATGACGCTCGGATTGCTCGGATCAAACTCCCCGCACCCCGCGCTTCCTTCGGCCAAAAATTGGTGGGGCGCGTCTTCGTGGATGAAACGATCTACAGTAAGTTAAGATTAATAATGGAAAGTTCTTCTTTACCTCGAGAAGAAGTCCTTCGCCGAGCTTGGCAGGTCGGGCGGCACTTCAAACGCGTTATCTTCTTGACAAATGATAGACAGGAGCAGGTGCGCGGCCGCGAAGATGTCTTGCGATTGGGACTGTCTGGATAATACAAGAAAATGAATTAAAAAAAAATATACACCACTACATTTTTATCACCGAAAAAAAATTAACAGGTTATGTAGAAATGTGTGAAAAATTTAAAGAAAAAAGTTTTGTTTTCATAAAGTTAATTTTTTTATTAAATTTTCTTTAGTACGTATTTTACGCGTCACAGCTGGGGCACTCCGCTGCTCGCTAGAATAGTCGTATGCACTCGTACATTGCCCCGATCTGTCTGTCTCGCTCAAGCCTCGACCACGCTTCCAGTGTTGTTATTACTTACTTAGCTAACTTCAAGTAATTTTGAGTTCTAATAAATGTTACATTATCTTACGTAAATAGTGCTAGCGACGTGTGTGTCCATAAATTACCAATTTTGGGATGAAATTTTGAGTAAATTTATAATTATAAGGGGGCGTAAGATGCCACAGTGTTTATCGTACCATCATCTGTATACACTAAATAAATCTAAGACCTAATTTGAACCTTATACCTGTCACAATAGATGTCTCCCTCGTGCATTTCAGCGAGCCGCGCATCCAAGCTCGCCCCAACCAGCTTGACCGCGCCGAATTCGTCCACGAACACATTCTCACACCGCAAGTCTCTATGCACCACACTAACACTATGCAATTCCTTTAACGCACCAAACAAACCCACCCCCACTGTCCTAACCAACTTTAAACCTTCATAACGGTCACTGATTTTACACTTATTCAACAAAAATTTCAACGAGCACCCTAGAACGTAGTCCCTGAATATGAAATACGATTGCTTTGCGGTCCGTTTTGCTTCTTTGACAGTTTCCATGGCTACGTATGGGACTAGGGATGGGTGTTTTAATCGGCACAACACTTTTAGGTCTTGCTGGAGCGATGTCAGCTGACGGTTTCGAGTTTGGAAGTCCGAGGTGGGAGGTATCGACCATTTCTTTGTGATTAGACGCTCGCCGGATTCGTCATCTATCGCTAGGTAGGTTGTCGAGCCGTTTGAAGAGTGACCTGAAAAGAAACCAAGTGACTTGAGAATTTGGCGTCCACGCGATAGTTCATTAACGAAAATACAATGCCTTATGGGAATTACTTATTAATTTATGTTTATTTTCATTGTAATTGGTAAAAATGACTAACTTAATACTATAAAAATAATTCTCCATCAGTTAACTTTGGGCTAGCCATAAAAATTTAGGGCAGTGGGTTTCAATCCTATTGTGAATATTATGAACATGTGCAATTATACCCATACTGTGGATATCCAAAAGTAGATCAAAAGTAGAAGAACGTTGATACCTAAATAAGCGGTTTCCTTGAGACACAATCTAATCCTTTAAAAAAGCTGATACTGTGTGATTTCATAGCATACTCCAACTGATTACAGTTTATGTTCATCACTTATTAACAGTGAGTACCTTCCTAAATAATTACTCTTACTTCTATTTAGTTATTTTAGTTAAATAAATACGAAGTTTATACTATACCTAAACAATTCCCAATGTAAACTTTCTTATTGTTCCTCTGCATTATCCTGAGGACCTGCGCGCCTTTGTTGCACGTGCATACCGCAGCTGTTCTGGTCTTCACTTGCCTGACTGGAGACATCTTGTTATCAGCATAACTGGAAGAATGGAAGATTATAAACAACTAGCTTTTCCCGCGGCTTTACCCGCGTGAATTTCATTGTCACAGAAAGTTATATAGCCTAAGACACTTACAAATAATGTGGCTTTTTATAGGTAAAATAATTTTTAAAGTCGGTTCAGTAAATCCAAAGATTATCTCAAAAACTTTACCTCTTTTTAATATTAGTAAGTGTATAGATTGACGTTGAAAAGTTTCACAGCGTACTATGGAGAGGGCTTTGCTCGGAGTTCTTGGAGATCGAATCGGAAATGGAGATCTATAAACGAACAAAAGTCGTTGACAGCTCACCAGATGGATTGCAAGCTGAAGTAGCAATAGGCAGGGGTTATTTTACACAGAACTGACGGTCGATGGGGCAGCAAGGTTATTTAATAGTGGCCATGTACCGGCAATTGCAGCATGAGACGTCCAACAACAAGGTGTACGGGTAACCTCATAAGGGTTTTGGCAAGGCGTTGGCAACCAAAAGGTCAATCTGGAACTCATTGGGGGTGGCCTATGTTCAGCAGTGGACGTCTTAAGCCTGAAATGATGATGACAATAACTTCTGGATAGTTTTTTGAAAGATTATTAGTAATGTGTATTGAACACAAATTAATATAATAGTCCCGTAAGCCCATCGTAGTAAGCTTAAATATGCTTGTGTTTTGAGTGGGCTCACCACAATAGTCGAGCGGCGGCGGGATTCGAATCCGCGTTCCTCGGATCGCGAGTCGGCCAGTCTGACCCCTTCAGCGTTCGGCTATCGTGGCTTCAAAAGATATTTTCACTGAGATATAAGTCAAAGTCAAAATTTCTTTATTTGTTTAGACTAATAAATAGTTCTTACAAATCGTCATTTTGCTCTTAAGGAGCCTCTACATGTCTCATAATCTTTTTACCCTACCAGCGCTTCGAGACCAACATTTGGCAAGTGCTGAGAAGAAGCGACGCAACAAACTCAGTCACCACTGTCTGCTGGTTAATATAAATAAATAAATAGATAGAAATATTAGTAGTAGGTACATTATATAACTTACTACACTAGTTCTGGAGCGTCCCCTTGTCCGTCAGTACTGTTGTCGAGACTCGTGCTTGACCGGTGCACCCGCCGGGGGGCGCCTCGTAGCATCTCTTGCCTTTTCTGAATCTCACTCTTTATTTTTTGCCGCTGGAAAGTGGAGACACAAGGTTATAAAAATGTTACACCCGCATTCCCAACATTACTCTGAGTTGACGCACAGGAGGGTCCCAAATACCTATTCACAGACAATAGGCTAGTTTCCTAAAAAAATTTTTTTAGTCCGTCATGTTTAATATCAAAAAATATTGGACACATATATTTTTATTTGTCAATCTAACAAATAATTACATAGTTATGGTGCTTTGAAGTTCCGCACGACGTCACAACGTGCGGCACTTTTATGCACGCATTGACGTCACGGGCCTCTTCTTATGAACTTTGGCGCGCTTTATCTCTTTAAATTTTCATTAGTTTGAAAAAGTGAAAAATACGTGTAGAGTATTTTTTGCCAAGTTAACTGACGGACTAATTAAAACTCTTGCTTTTTGACCCAGGCAACATCCCTATACGCTATATGTTCGTATTTGCATAGCGTTGCTGCTTCACTTAAGCAATCGGCGTTTGTGAATACGGTGTTAGTGATCGAGCTAACTGACCAGAGAGTCGACGTGACGTCACGGTGCGCAGCTAGGTGCGCAGTTAAATTTTCTTTTTTTTTAATGCATAACTTGACCAGATTGAAGGTGTTTCATAAAATGCATTTATTTTGTGTATTAGGATTTTAAAGAGCACATTTCAAACATAATTTGTTTGCATGAAGTCTCACTCAAGCATGATGATGCAATAATGATGTAATAATACTCAAAATTCATTCATCTTTGTAAATGCCCTCTATTGAAAGTTACAAAATGATTTAATATTAATTTATTATTCTTTAATGCCATAATAGTTGATAGCTAAGGTGAACTTAATTTCATAAGGCATTGTCTACCAGTTCACCTTTGGGCTAAATAGAAAAAAAACATTGGGTCTCGGAAACATTTTTTTAAAACAAAGTAAGTATACCAGTGACAAAAAAGTATTTACAAACAAAATAAACTTTACCTCTTCATTCTCTTTAATCTCCAGATCCTGTAGCTTCATAGTTTCCATCTCTTCCTTCTGTTTCAGCATTTCTTCGTAGCAAGACAACACTGGCTTGTTGTGGTCGTGCAGAAATTGCTGGAATATTTAACAAAATCATTCTTAAACACTTATTACACAACTTTACTATTCAGCTGGAATACTAATTTTATCATTTACAAAATTCAAATGAACCAACAGTCAAAATATAATCAAAAAATATTTATTACCCTTCACAATCAAGTACACAAAGAATACAAATTAGGCCAATGATTCTAACCTAAAGTGTGAGGGACTGGTGTCTTAAATAGGTTTCAAGAGAGGAACCTATGCTACGGGTGATCAGGCGTCGTCCACGATACGAAGCAGTAAAAGAGAAATTAAATAAATAATGGATGCCTGGATAACATTTTATTGTTGCTGGAAAGTTTTGATTGTTTGTTTTGAATAGGCTCCGTAACTACTGGTCTGATTTAAAAAAATCTTACACTATTTCTGATGAACATAGTACAAAGTTCACCAGGTCAGCTGATATTGGACAAATATATTTCATACCTGGGCATGTTGGGCAAGTTCAAAAATCATGACTTCTCCACACCGCTCAGCTGCTAAAGCCTCCAGGTCTTTAAGCAGATGGTTCGCATTGTCAGTTGATAGTCCATGTATTTTGTGAATCGCTATACTTGGAGGCCTGGAAAGTTTTGAATAAAGTTTCTTAGAAAAAAGTACAGTAGGATTCCGATTATCCGGATCAATTAAAACCAGGGGTGTTCCGGATAATCGAAAATCCGGATAATCGATTTCAAAGTAAAATCAAACAATAATTAACTTTTTACAATAAAAATGGTTTTCAATACATCATTTTAGAGTCTAAAAATGTAAATATTAGACCATTGGTCATCCATTTTTTTAAACAATAAACTAAGAAGACTTCCATACCATGTTACGGTGGTGGCGCCTTAGGTTTTTATGGGTCCAGAGTCCAGACCCTGAATCGGTAATTAGAAACCGTGAAGAATGAGTCCGGATAATCGGATATCCGGATAATCGAAGTCCGGATAATCGAGATTCTACTGTAGGTATATTAGATAGATAGATCTGTGCATACTTTATTGTACACAACACAGGACAAGAAAAGTAAATACAGAAATAAAGAGAGCACAATTTAGGCGATCATATCGCTATAAAGCGATCTATAGAGGACAGAAGCGGTATTTTGTACGGAGAAATAATTCGTATAATTTTTGTTTTGTTCACAGAGAATTATAACGAGAATTTCAGTATAGCTTACTTGTCAGGATATGACGAACAGCACTTGAAGTGCAGCGTAATAGAGCAGTGAACGCCTTTTATGTCCGAGTTGTGCAGTGGATGCAGCGTCAGCAACAAGTCCAGCGGCCTCCATAGTTTCCACGCTATATTCTCACGGTTATCTATAACTGCTTCACCGTAAATAGCCTGGAAATAAAGGATAAATTTTAAAATAAACTGAAAAAATATTTTAAAATACCAAAAATGAGGCATCAAGAAATAAAAAATAAAAATAAAAATAAAAAATGTATTTATTGCCTTCGAACCATTAGACATAGGTAGGTACAGGTAGTTAGACTTACAACTAATAAGTACACCGAAGGCAATTGGACCTGGCTCAGTATACTTTGTAAGGACAGATCCTTGCAACACTGGTTTTCAGCCATGCCCAATTCTCTAGGATGTTGAGCGAGAATAAAGTTATGAGGGTTTAAGAAATAATTATAAACTTTGAAACAATTATAAACTTTAAAGGAAAAAAAATGTTTGCAATAATACTTAATAATAGGCAAAATATTAATTTTAATTCAGAAAATATAGGCTAGAATATGCTGCAAAGTGTGTTTTGGAACAATTTATCCATATAATTTTGTAGCTTAATAAACTGGGACATTTCATCATTCAAAATTTAACTTAGTAAACCAACCTCACAGTGAGATGTTTTGATAATACAGTTAATTTTAATAGAAATAGTCTAAAAATACATCTTACCTGCAGAGCCGCAAATTCGTTGTCTTGTCGTTCTTCTGTAGTTTCCTCACTCATTTTTACTGACGAGAAAGATCATAACCTCAAGTTTATGTTAAAAATGTACGTTAAAACACGAATATTAATAAATTTAACGCTTTTTCAGCATTTATTCCATTTTACCGCAACAAAACAAATCGAAGTTAGTCGGAGATTTTATGTCATTGTCAATGTCAAAATTGTGTCACTTTTGACAATAAAAGTTTACACGTGCACGGTCCGAAATCCTTTGAAACTGGCTACAATTATTTTTCATTACGGAACTTTATTTTTCAAAAAATACCAAGCTATTTTACTTACTTTACTAATTATTTATTTCTTTCTTCCCGACTAACGACGAAGATGAAGCCTATTTTCTAGCACCAAAATAAAAAAAATATTTTAAAACCAAAAATCAAAGCTAAAAGCACTTTACAAAGTAATTTAAGGAGGTACCTCATCATCATCATTTCAGCCTCAGGACGTTCACTGCTGAACATAAATTGCCTCTCCAATGACTTTTAATCTATGTATACCTATCGCACGTTCGCACGGTTGGTTATAGCGGCCTGCATCCAGCGCCTTGCATCAGGTGGTCGGTTCACCTTGTGGATGGTGCTAGTGCTGCTATCTACTAGTGCTAATCTGTCAGGATATTATGTCAGCGACTTTAGTTCGTTTACGGATCTCCTTATTTCTGATTCTATCTCGTTAAGAAATTACCTAAATCGTAAAGAAGGTACCTAATTACATGTAGGAACTAATACTAGGTAGCCGGTAGGTACTTGGAACAATCTGTGATGATTATCTTAATCCATTCTGCAACCAATCTCCCTGACACTAGCAATGTTTTTAACTCGTATCTTATCGTAATAATTAATTTTAATTATTGATACAATTGAATATGAGTCTGGAGAGAGTTTGCAAGACATCAACGTTTTCTTAACAATTTCAACTTGGAAGAATCATGATCAAATCAATATTTATTTTTGTGATCTCTCTAGCATCTGCTATAGGACAAACGACATTACGTAAGTGATTAGTTAAATTTTTATAATTGAAGTTCTTGTAATCTTGCTTTGTTTGGTCTGTCACTAAAAATTGTATCGACCGCACACACCCCCTTTTGAAAAACCGGGATAAAAACCATCGTATTTGAATCCCTGGGTATCAAATTAACTCTATGCCAAATTGCATCCAAATCGGTTCTGTGGTTTAGGTGTGAAAGAGTAACATCCATCCTCAAAATCTTTCACGTTTAAAAATTACTTAGAGGATAGGATGAGAACTAGGCGAGGCGTGGTGGACGACGACTTTTAATAAGTAGGTACCTAGTTACTTACAGTACAGGCGTCAGCACAACATCCGTCTATAAATTTTTGTTGCACATTAGTCTGTACGACTCTACCGAGGTATTCCTCGAAGCGCACCCAGTTTGAGATGCACTTAACGAAGCGCAACTAAACTATTCCTCGAAACGCACCTAACTATGCCTACAATGTAGATACATACCTAAATGTTACCTCGTTGTTGAAAAGTTTAGGTGTGCCTCAAAATGGGTGCGCTTCGAGGAATACCTCATTCCTCGTGTTTAGCTTGACGTGAATTCTCTATTACTTTCTTGTTACAGTCAATAGAATGAAGATTGTCGACCCAAACCCATACTTTTTCCAAGTTTTACAAGAGACCTTCTATGAAGTGGAACAAAGGGGATGGAGCTCTTTCCGATTGGCAGACTTCACTCAGCAATTGAAGTAAGAACTAAGTACCAGATAGGGTTCGGCCAAACCAACGCGTGTAGCCTGCATGTGCGTGCGCGATGGCGATGGTGATCAGTAGAAATTATCACCATCGCGCACGCAGGCTGCATGCGTTGGTTTGGCCGAAACTTTACTAAACAATTGAAGGAAGTACCGCATTAAGCACTCAAAGTATCTAGTACGATCTTTGAAGATCGATTATATTATAATGATTTATGTTGTATAATATAATGAATGTTTTTGATTAAACGAAGATTTATAATGTGGGACTCCACATTATAAATATTTTTAGGGAGACATTCGTCCTTGTTTCGTGTTGATTGGGAGGTACTTACTGCACTGTAATGGTGGAGGTCCTCCTATTTCCATTTTTGAACTGGTTGGAACCCCGATTAACTACCATAAAGATCGCTATTCCTATACCGCTAGCCCGTAGCTAAGTAACGCTATCTCGAATTACTCCTGATAAGTTTTCATCCATACCTACTTACCTACATACATTGCCTCTTTTTCAGTGAAATAACCCACACTAACATGCTAGTAACTGGAAACGTCAGCTACTCCAACGGATTCTTGGTGTCCATCGAAAAGATTGACCTGAACGCCGTTTCTACTTTCATAAGCCATCCCCTCGTTGACGGTGTGCCAGTTACCACAGCTACTGTAAGAGGGACAGTGAACCTCAGGGATGCAAGAGTGGGGTATGATGCTGTCACCAACATAACCAGTGACAATGGCAAGCAGCGGAGATACACAGGGATCTTTACCCACACTCTTATTCAGGGAATTTATCAATGATTTCCACATCACCCGGTTGTTAGCGACCTGCATCTAGCACCTTGTTGCCTTTATGAGGTCGCTCGTCACTTTAGAACCTTGCTGCCCCATTGGCCGTCACTTCTGCGTACTATATGCCCTGCCCATTAAGTAAGTACTTACAAGCTCTATCCTTGGGGGAGGTCTTTGGAGAAGTGGATGTTATTTAGCTGAAACGACAACGACAAGCTAATTCTCTCTTAAGGGGTGACTTTCTCATCATAGAACTTCTTGAAAGAAAAATACGACGGAATCGTACTATCAGCGTCGGGACATTCACTTATGTCCCGAGTATCGCTGAGCGGGCGCCTTTTTGGCTCGGGATTTTACTGGTCTGGCTGGATTATTTTACTGTTTTTTATTATATATTTTTTTCTTCTTTAAGTACCTTTTTACACTTGTAATTGTCATTGCTTGTCCCGTGCCAAATAAAGATTTAATTACTATCCAAAGTATCTCTAGTCTCTGCCACTTATATTCTTGGCATCCTCCTTTGCCTATCGTTTTACATCATCAGTTAAAATATGGTTCCTTTTTCATAGAGCACGATGATCAGTCAAGAGAAAGGGTTCTGAATGGAGACCACGTGTACCTAACTACCTAAAGAACGACATTTTAATAATTTAGGATATCAACACAAGTATTATTTTCCAGATTTCAAGAAACATGAACACCAATGAGACATCCGTAGCATATACAAACCACGGCGTATCAGGGGGCAGTGGAGTGAGGATGGTCTACCTCCCGACGGATGAAATATCTGAAATCTTGTCATTACGGGTAAGAGAGCCTAAGATCTTTTTTGAAGCCATTTTTGAGTGAAAAATTCAATCTTAGGTGTTGTTACAGAAAGCGGCAGTTCTTCTTCTTAGGGCTATATTTCACCGGGACACCATGGCGGCGCAACCAGTCGTCGCTACCAACAAAATGTATTCAGCTTTGCGCAACCAAACGGACACCAGGTGAGTAGCTCTCTATAGAGCTGTATACATTTTGTTGGTAGCCGGCGACTGGTTGCGCCGCCATGGTGTGAAATATAGCCCTTATAGGGTTGGTTTTAAAAATCTTGTGCGTCCTCCAAAGTCTGTATTAGAAGAATCATCTTTTTATCGGTCTGTCTTAAGTCTAGAACCTCTGGTTAAATTGTGTTACATACATCTAAGAAACAATCCTAGAACTCTCAGGTGAAGAGTCTCTCTTTCTTTCTATTGAGAACAAACTTGACCTTCACTGGTTGGGTTTTTATTGGCGGTCAAGCTATAGATCCTGGTTACACAGGAGTTGCAGCGAAAGTTGTGGAGAATAGTTCTGTTACTATTGAGGGTTGTCTTAGAACTATGTACAGTCGACAGCACAACAAGCTATACATTTTCGTTGCAAAGTCGCCCGTATCGCAACTACGTAAGATACCACAGTGTTTACGTTGACGTGCTGTTAACCGTACCTATCTAATAAACTCTGTTAAGTATTTTACTTACCTTTGTTTCGTTTCCGTTGTTCACAATTAAATTTCAGAGCTACTTACCATAGCACCAAAATAAATGGAGGCTGGTTAGCCATTTTCAGTGCATTGATGATACAACAATTTAAAAGTTTCATTATTTTCTATTTTAGTTCGAGGCGACCAGCAGTTTTACGCCGACAAGGAATTGGTTCGCCAACGAAATTCAAGCAATCCTGCTGGACGTAGCTACAAATAAAGTACCATTCCCCGAAGTTTGCTTTAATTGCTAGAACTGTTTCGTGATAAACTTCTTTATACTGCATTAAATTGGTCTTTTTGTTATTACCCTATACCCATATTTTTGTACGTTTTTAGAAATTAATGAATTGATGAAAAATGTTTTTTGAAAGCTGGACCTACTCGTGTAATTATCTACTTTAGCTAGTAGTACCTACGTGCGTACCTATGTTTATAACAATTCAACAAGTTAGTGACAGGTAAGTTAAATCATGATAAGACCTAGTACCTACCTACTATCTTCAGAAATAGTAATATCTAGATAGGTGAAGAAAACAAATTCACGAAAACTCAATAATTTTAAAGAATTAGCCAAATAAACAATCTTATAGACGTTCAGGTCAGGAACAATTAAAAAACTTTTGAGAATAGTTATTGTTTATTGCATCAATTTAACAGTTGTAGCATACCTCAGGGAACTCTACTTTGTTTCTTACAACGTCATCAACGATTGGTTGGATTATGTCCCTCCCCCAGGAGATAACCACGGGTTGAGTGCTCGCAGGGACAAACTGAAAAATGAAACAAAATCTTGAAAAATTGTCAAAGAACAAGTTCCACTTTCATCGCAAGAACATAACAAAACAGTCCAAGATTCAAACAAGATCTATAGGTCGTGGATACATCTCGTCGCTCTTTATTCGGTATTCTGGGTTACTTATTACCAGGTGCATTTGATAATTTTGTCATAATAATGTACTTAATTTTCATCAAAGATAATATTATAACTTAACTCATCACCGCGATGTGACGAACAGACAGCGCCATCTATCGGTGTCGTACGGAAAATTTTAGTTTTTATAAAACAAAATCTTGATTCTTCATCAAGATAGTCTTACCGTAGTTCCAATCAGATCGCTGATATCAGTGT